AAGGTGGCTTTGTCTTCCTATATGGAGACTTCTGGTGCTTTCAACATTGCTTATTTGTCTGAGTATGTGGACCAGAGGTTAGCAAAGATGAAGCTCTGAACGCGAGGTCCATTCTTCTCAACCAAGGGACAATGATGACGTGCATGGCAATCCTAGTGGGGATGATCTACCTTTCAAACATCAAATTTCTCCCAACACACGTGTCTGCTTGGCAAATGCAAATCCCAAACGAGCTACAAAGAAGAACACGTACCAATCGGAGTTGTTTTCTTTAAGTATTTTATTTTATTTCAGTTTATTTTTATTTTAGCAATAGTTTCCTTTATTTTGGAATAGGGTTAGGGAAAATAGGTTATTTTTACTTTAAGTTGGGTTTATTGGTCATTTTTTGTTAATTTTTACTTAGATGGGTCTATTAGTCATTTTTTTGTTCAGGTGAAGGGTATTATTAACCTCTTAATTTTCGGTTATGTTTTAAGAAAGAGGTCCTGTAAAGGGAGGGGGATACACATTTTTAATAAAGGAAAGAGGAGAATGAAACTTTTGCTTGGAGCCCTAGTTAGGGTTTTGTGGAGGAAACCATGGTTTTCTTCAATTTGTGCTTGTGTTTGATTGGAACTGCATATTTTCTTGTGTTCTTCAATGAAAATATACATCAGCAGGTTAGTGCAGATACGAATCTAAGACACTTCTCTGCAGATGCCAACAACCAAACCATCAATAATTCCCAAGATATATTCTTTCCCGTACACACAAATGTTAAAAAACTTAAAAAATTAAGGGATGTCCATCATGAATACCAATATCAGCATACATGGGACTAATATTTTAGAGAGTTTTGATCAGGGAAACCCAACATGCTACTTATTGGATATGAAATGCCATGATCAAGAAGTCTTGATTTCATAATATATTCGTTCGGATGGCCTCTAAACTAAACTCCCAACAGGAACAGGGCCTCGCAATAAAACACCAGTCCACACTCTAATCTTGCTTTGCTCATATTACTCCTAACAAATCATGATTTCCTACAAGTTAAAATATCCACCACAGAAGCCTTGTAATTTTAACTACCGGGAGAAACAACAACAAGCAAACTTCACTAAACCAAGAGCAATAACTTAACTCAAGGCATCCTCCTAATCTAATGAACAACATATTTTGAGCATAAAAAAAAAAAAAAATCTCCATCAATTCCATTTGGAGTCACAAATAAAAGCATCCCATCTCTAACAGGTTGAATGGGATGAGACACTTGGAAACAAAATAATTATAAGAACTAATCACATAACATTACATGGTACAACAAGTAATACAATTTGTCATATCCATGGACTCAGGATGATGAGAGGACCAAAACCCAGATAGGTTGTCAATTCAAAAAATATGACTGTACAAGCAGGTATGAGCAGACTTGCATAATCACAAACTAATGATGTGCTGCCTGCTCACCTTCATAGAAAGGCAAGCGGACCTAGCCTAGATGTTCGCCTTTTGATAGAATAAAAGGAGAAGGGAAAGGAAAGGAGGGGTTTGTTCTCCTTTGTCAACTCCTTGTGTCGTTGACAAACAAAGTCAACCCCTTTTGGAAACATTACCATGTTTCCAAAGCAACCTCCCCTTTTGCTTGACTCAACTTAAATATTAAAGATCTACCACATAAGGCTTCAATATGAATAAGTAGAGTTCATGTAAGGCCTGTTTGATAGTTGGAAGGTAAATGTACTCTAGAAATTGGAAGTTCTTCTTTGCTGGGAAGAAAGAAGTTATTTAAGGAAATTCTGAGTGTATATGTTTGATAACTTGTTGTAATGTTAAAGAAGTTCTTTGACAACAGGTTGGAATATAAACTCATGTTTATTTAAATACTATTAAAATATTATATATTAAATATTATTTTTATATTAGACATAAATAAATATATAATATATATTGTATTGTAAATATTGATTTCATACATACAATATATTATATAACAAAATATATATAATTTATATTATGTAATATAATATATTATATTAAATAAATATATATTACATATTGGTATAAAAAAAATATATTGTAATAATTTAAA